TTTTCGTCACGCTGTGATGACGTCACGTACGCGCTTTCGTCGAGCGCGCTTTCGTCTACCGCGGTTTTGTGGTGGAACCCGATTTTAAGCTAAAACTAGACAAACGTGTGTCCCTTTGGGTCATTTTTTTCCAGAGCTATTTCGTAAGCAGAGAAAGACCAATGGCAGGTGATGGAGCGGGAGCAACTTCTGGCTTCTCCATTGCATTTACTTGTGGGAATCTGCCAGGGAACATTGGAAATTTCCCCTTCCCCTTCCCATACAAGCAGTTAAGTGGGAGCAAGGGATTGCTAGACTGGCCGGGAAATTGTCACAGAACATTGAAAATGGAGATCGCATGCAGAAGCAGCCACTAGCCTTGAAATAGCCACAGCGTCCCCAAATTTCATCCCCACGGGGAGGTCTTGGATTTTGGATATTTTCCGCAAGTTAGAGATACCTTGGTTCGAAAATCCTTGCTCTACGACGCACCATTTCAACCAGGTGTAAAGTTCATGACAGCGAGAGCTTTAGTAGTATGTAGCTAGTGGGAAATGGCTTGAGGGTACAGGCGCAACTCCAACAATCCGACAAGGAAACTCCCTCTCGTCCCCTCAACAGGAGATCCGCTTCCCTAAAATGGTGACCAACTGTTGCCGCTTCTTGTGCTACTTCTGCCGCATCAGTCGCCAGAACCAACGCTCCATGTTTGACCATCTCAGCTACCTGCTGCAGAATAGCGGGATCGGGCTGGGTGAGTTGCAATGGAGACCATCAACACCAGGGGTGATCGCTACCCTATGAAGAGAGGGCAAAAAGCCGGCAGGTTAATGTTGTGAACCGGTTTTGGGCCTCGTGATGTAAACCCAAACTTTTCCCACATAGTTTGAAATTTAGGGTTTTGAAATTTGTTTGAAGTTTGATTCAGGGGAGAATGGTGTGATCTTAATGCCCTGTTCTCAGGTGGCATTGCCAAGTTGTTCCAACGTCTGGAGCACTGCAAAGTTCACTGATGGACCTCCCTTCCTTCCCTTCCTCCCTCCTCCCATCCATCATCTACCATCTATTCCTTCCTTCTTTCCTCTGCCATCTGCNTCTTAAAGTGATTAAAGTTGGAATTCTGGGAGTTGAAGTCCATGGGTCTTAAAGTGATTAAAGTTGGAATTCTGGGAGTTGAAGTCCATAGGTCTTAAAGTGATTAAAGGTGGAATTCTGGGAGTTGAAGTACATGGGTCTTAAAGTGATTAAAGTTGAAATTCTGGGAGTTGAAGTCCATGGGTCTTAAAGTGCTTAAGGTTGGAATTCTGGGAATTAAGTCCACAGGTCTTAAAGTAGCCAAGGCTGGACATCCAAATATAGAATCAATGCTACACAAACCCCTTTATTGCAGTTTTTATCTTAGTTTCCACAATGATCTCAGTCACCCTAGTTTAATACCTTTTCCTGGGCATTCAGACAGAGTAGGACTTTGTTTCATCCTGACTCCAGTGTCCCATGTTATCAGTATTTACATTCAGCAGCTCGCCATCTTTTCTTTGCAGGAATCCAAAGCGAGGGGGAGGAGGAACAGGAAGAGGAAGAGACTTCCTTTCACCGTCGGTTGATGAATTTGGTGGAGAAGGTGGTGAACCTTCGCAAGAAAAAGGAAGACGACCAAGATGAGCAGCCCCCGGAAGAGGAACCGAAGCCCAGTAGGTATCCCCAAGTGGTGGAGGGGGAAGAGAGTGATGTAGCCAACCCATAATTCCGTTTTTGAGGGAACCTAGGCCCTTCCAAGCATTGTGAGATCCAGTTCTTAAGAGCCTAAACTTGTGTGGTCAAAGTTCTAATAGGAGAGCATTAACAGTCATGAAGACCAGTTGAAGAAGTTCTGAAGAAGATGCCATAGGCTCATCCAGGTCTCCCCACTCTGTAGGCACATTGCAAGAGCTGATCTCCCACACAATGGTCCATTGGGCCCAAGAGTCCTTCGTCCAGAACCCAGAGCTAGTCCGGTTGATGTTCAGCCTTCTCCATCGGCAGTACGACGGCCTCGGTGAGCTCATCCGTGCTATGCCCAAGGCTTATACCATCAATGCCAACTCGGTGGAGGATACCATGAGTCTCCTGGAGTGCCTGGGGCAGATCCGCTCACTGCTCATCGTTCAGATGGGACTTGAGGAGGAGAACCTGATGATCCAGAGCATTGGGTATGCGCTTTTATCTACTGTGGCTTCTTGAATTTGTAGATACCTTTCACTGTGATGCTGCTTTATAGGCTCCATTGTTAGGTCCTCTAACTTAGAACTATAGGTGGCGCAGTGGTTAGGGTGCAGTACTGCAGGCCACTTCAGCTGACTGTTATCTGCAGTTCAGCGGTTCTAATCT